CTGTTTCAGATGCTTAGTTTCCTTCATAATTTTTATATAAATGGATTTAATTTATTTCCATAGTGTCTGAAAAGTAATTCATTTGTTTTATGTGTGCAAAACCTGTGCCTATATTTTATCACCTACTTATACTAATCAATATTTTTTAAAAATGGACGTGACTGTTTTCATTACTAGATTTTTGTTTCCTTGTCCGTGAAAAATTGTTGTACACTTTCCTACTGTTACATATATTAATTTGTTTTAACAAATAGCTCTAATCTCTTGAATTCGTAAAATTGTTGATTGACTACGTTTTTTTGTTTGTTCTGGATAGATTTGTACGCACCCTAGGTTTAAGTTTCACTCGACCACCCAACATGTAACTAAGCTCTGAATGACCATCCATTGTAGATCTACCCTTCACATTTACACAAAACTAGTGGGTGTATTATTAGCCTTATATTGTATGTATGCTGGTATGGATATATATATGTTTGCAAGCTGTTCCTCAAGGTCAGAAGGCTAGCTAAAATTGCGTGTGGCCTCCTTACTGTGTTTATACTGTTCTAATGGTAGACTTAGTCATCTGTTACCTTGATAAATATTCTTTTTATACATATGTATATGATGTGTGTTTAGTGTAAAGTTTTTACATTTTCCATATGTGATCGAAATTGATGTGCTAAATTGCTTAGTCACTTTTTACTTTGCCGTTACTAGTCTGAAAGATTTTATGTCGTAATGTTCGGATTCGTGTTTATTCGAGATGATATATATTATACATATCCCCTTTGCAGTATACATGACCTTAGTTTGGCTGGTTAGTCGTATAAAATTACCACCACTCTGCTACGCCATGACACAGTCTTCCGGTTACTTGACTTTGAATTAATTGATCACTAGTTCAGTCCCCTATCTCAAGAAATTTGCCAACCTGCATAAAACTATTTTTAATTTATAGTGTAGTACAGAAACGTTTGTGTTATTGCAAGTTGTTTTCTAACGATGGATATTTTTACTAATCGAAAGTATGTAGTTTGATTCAAGCTGTTCGATGGCTTTCCGGATAAGCCAAATTTCAAAAGAACCTGAAGAGAAGTTGGATACTAATAAATTTACCGAAATACATAAAGATTGGCAGACGTAATTTGGAGTTCGGTATAATGTTACTTCAAGTTGCCATGTTTGAATAACTATTGTAAGAGAAATCAAAACGAAGAAATTAATAACGATAGTGGAGAGCTTAAAAAACACATTGAAAGTGGGAAAAATATAATGGGAGATCGTAATGAGAGGATTCAAAGTTATCATATGTACATGTTTCAAAGTTACGTTAGTAAAACAAAAATGCACAATGTTACGTTGTAAATGCGAATTTTTGGATGAATATAATTAAATGAGGATTATTAACTTTTGATGGAGTTTTGTTCTCTGAGCTGGATGGTTTGGTCGTGGAGCTCTCATAGTTAGTAACATTTGTATAAAAATAGAGCAACTGACCTATTCTCACGACTGTATAATATATTCATTATCACTTCCATACAATCCCGCTCATAACACGTCGTTTATTATTTATTTTAACACATAGATATTGGCACAAGGAGGCACCAAATACATATGCACGACACAAATCTCATTAGATATGTTTGAGGGCTGTGATACTGCCCGGGTGCCCAGACCGAAGCAGGTGGTTTGCTCAGGGGGCCACACCCGGAGCCTTCGACCTACAGGTCTGATCCACAAGGCAGTGGAACAACGTAAGGAGATGCAGTCCTATGGTAGCCGGTGACCAATTATTGGTTCATACGCTATTTGTTCCTTTAGGATACTGGAGCCCATGTGCACCACAAGTTTGGAATGAGGGTTTTCCAACTCCCCTAGGTGGACTCTCCATGTCCACCAACCCGGACATTCGCTTTTCGTCCTCTCAATTTCGTAAACAACAGTAATGCCACGAGAAGGCAATGAGCAGAACTTCCCTGGCAGAGGCTATATATGCATGGCCATGCGAGAGCATTTGAAGAGGGCGAGCGGACTCTCCTCACTCTCGGCCGTACCAGGGCATTTGATGTGCACAAAAAGTCATGCGCTGCAAGATTAATTATCTCAAAACTAAGTATCTGATGCTTTCATACTAGATCGTATGTTAACAATCCGTGTTCTGCGACAATTTTAACGTAGGCTTACGTTGAAGTGAATTTTTTTATCGTTATTACGTCAAATCTGTAACGTGGTTGTCTTGATATGTGTTTCTTATCAATCAACTGACGTACATAAATTCATCTCAGTTTCTATCTGGCCATTTAAACCGTGTTTCGAGGGCTAAGTTGCACATATCAAATAAGAATATAATAGTTTGATATATTGGAATACTGTTCATATCTACTGTTTTTTGTACCATGCATTAAAGCGCAAATTTTACTAATTGGTGTATGATAACATTTTCATATATTAAAAATTCTCACGCTGGATCAATTCTGTTTTTGAAACAACGAGAGAAACTAAAAATCTTTTCTTTCCCACTCCCAAAACAAAAATAATGCCCTTATCCTTTGATTTAGCTGCTACTATCCATTAAAATAGGCTTAGTGATGATGATTGTCAAACATTCTACTGATTGTGCATTTTTGAAATTGTCACGCCTTAAGTAAGATAGAAGATGCCTTCATTTATAGTAGCGTACTAACACGTGTGTGTGCATTTTCTGATTAATTTCCTTCTAGTGATTATATTATAATAAGGACTTTTTTATTCACTTCTAAAGTTACTACTAGTAACTACTATTAAAATGAATTGTAGAAATACAGAGTTATTTCTTTCTTTTGTTGCTTCAATACAAATAGCAAAACCTACCACACATATGGATTAGGTTCACAATCATGGCGCCATTCAGTGTAGTGTATCACAAAATATACATTTCTTAATCTTTTTTAGCCTTATTAAATTTTTTGTTGTTTCAAGATAAGAATTATACAACACTGAGGACAGAATTGGCGCCAACATATATATATATATATATATATATATATATATATATATATATATATATATATATATACAAAACCTTACACACGTATTTCTACATGCGACGGATTTAGTGATCTTTAAAACTACCTATATATGTCAAATAATAATGTATGAAATTTTAATGCTAAGATTAACAGTTATTTAATCCATAGGTGGTGGCACCATTTATTAGTTTGTCATAAGATTGGAATAACTTATTATTACCGTTATTGTTATTAGTAATAGTATTACTACCACTTTCATTATTATTATTATTATTATTATTATTATTATTATTATTATTATTATTATTATTATTATTATTATTATTATTATTATTATGGAATTTAACGTTTGATCCTTCATTAGGTTACAGAAATGTATATATACGGCGAAGACTTAGATTTTTGGCTTGATGCTATTTGCGTCAACAAGTCTAAACCAAAGATTCTTCTTAAGTGTAATTCCAATAAACTCATTTAATGTGATATTGTGCATATGTATTGATGCGAAACGTGGTTTACCTTTATCATAAACCATGAAATACAAAGTAATATTCTGCTTAAATTCAATACACTATTACGATATTTATGAGCATACACGTCATAGAAATATGATTTCATCTTGTTTCATATATTTCTTTAATTGTAGTATGTAAAAATAATAATAATCACAATAACTTGATTTCTATCTTTCATGTAATCATTATACAATAATTCAATAGTCTTAGCCCCATTTTTCTCCTTTTCTATGTTCTTGATAAGATTTTTGTCACATTGTGTGAATAATAATACTCATAAAACTGTCAATCTGGTTACGTATGAGGAAAATAAACCCTCTTTCGAAGATGTGAATATTAAATTTCCACTGAATTGTTTTCTTGGAAACAATTTTACTGTCTACTGATGATACTTCAGATTTTATAAGTTATGACCTTGTAAAGTTTAACTAACTTATTATCTTATATTTGTAACTGAGGTGTAAGCAACAGAATACAATCGATGGATTATTGTTTTCCCCTTCAAACAAAGCGTCGTTTGTGCACATTATTTCATTTTGTTTCCGCTTCTTTTAATTTACGTCTTAATACTTTTAGTTTACAAATTGTTAGTCGTATTGACTTATACTTTTTCTTTTAAATTCGTTATTATAATTAATTTCGTTCAATTAATATTTATCTTAGTATTTCTCCCTGCGTGGGTCTGATAAATTACAGTTGAAGTTTTGTGATAGTACATGATTAGTATATTTCGAGCTTGGATAATATGTATTGTAGGGTTGGAATTTCTCTCATAAATACAGAATACTGAACCGAATGAAATACTATCCTAGTATGTAGATTTCTGAACATATCTTGCTAGTACTAAAATTTTTAACTACGAGTAGGTGGTATGGGTTATAATGTATAATTTTGAGCCAGTCACTGAACTGTATGTCTCCCTAAAAGTACTTGTATAGTGTATGCTACTTATTCTGACAGATATAAGTAGTATGTTGCAGCAATCGAAAGTAGAACGACTGCCAGTAGAAGATAGAAGTAAAGTGAACTGCAAGGAAATCAGAGAGCAATCGAAATAACAACGGAATTAGAAGAATTATAGAGTATGTAAAGGACAACGCAAAGATGTGCAAATGATGTATTTAATGTATGATTTTCATATTTCGCTAAACGACTATGATTTCTCAACAAACAATTTATTAGTCTTCCCCACCAAGTTTTCGTCCAGTACACTTGAATTTTTTTATTCATTTGACCTTGTTTAATCAAACTAAATGAATGACATGGACTAAATGGTTTTATTCATGAAGCTTATTGTTATATGCGTGTCACAGCATAATAATTTTAAGTGCTTTATCTAAAATACAGAACTGTATCATGTATTACTTGTGAATATATGAATTCAATCTAATGTGTTTATTAAGTTTTCCTTTAGTTCGATACTCACTTTTATTGGTCTTAGATATTTATCATGAAATAAATTACATAATATCTTCCGTGTATTTTATTTCAGAAAGTGATCGTCTTACTGCTGAGTGGAAGTATTTAACTAAAGCATTACAAAATGTTCATACTGAAACATTATATGGTGATTTGTATTATTTTTCAAAAGATACTAAATTGTCTAGAATGACATATCATTCTCAGAGAGATGAAATAGACGAAAAAGAGACTGATATATTTTCTTTACCATCAACTATGTCCAAATCTAAAACTGAAACAGATTCATCCCTGAATAGTCGTGAATATATGGGTAGTATGGAGACAATATTACAAACTACTATACCATATACTAGCAGTCAAACATTTTCTGAGCATATTAAATCATCAAATTATATCCATTCAGATAATATTAATGATAACAGCAATGTTGACAATGATAATTATGTTGATATTCTAACTCCTCAAGCTTTATTAGATCATATGGAGTTTTTGATCAAAGTAAGACGACTTACAATAACAGTTGGTTCATCAAAATGGTCTTTTAAAGATTTATGTCAACGTGTTAGCCTACCGTTCGGTGTGGAAATGCATCATTTACAAGTATGTTATTTTTGATTCCCTAGTTTTTATAATTATATATCTATTGTATTTCTGTGTAATTTTAATCAACCCAGTGGAGCTGTGATACCTAGCTTTCAGTCTCAGTGTTACTTGCTTGAATTCTACTCTAGTTGCCGATATTTGGATAACCAATCAGTATCAGTAACACCCTATACACAGTATATGTTGCATATAGTCTTGCATATACATCTGTGATGTTTTACTGAATTACAATTTATTCTTACCAAGAAATAAAATCGTGCCAAGTAGTATTGTTCTTTGACTTGTTTCTTCTACATATGTTCTTAAACTCAGTCTCACTTAACCTAAGAAAATGAGTAGTACCACTAACCCTTATGTAGTCGGTGCATAGTATATGAAAGTAGGGGTGTTTAATTAGGTTACCCTTTGAACAATCTTCGAGGATTATGCGTATTTAATTATTTGTTCAAAGTGTAAGATTTGTGGACATAAATAAATTTATGATACGTATAGTTTGATACTCTTCCAACCATCGTAGTTTTAGTTACTCAAACATTTACATCTTTCATTATTATTATTTTACATTGGTTTACCCGTATATGCAACTGTTTGAGACTTTCTGTTGTTGATATTGAGGATTACATTTGATAGAGTTAGGGTCCCAGTATAAACAATAAGGCTGGGATGCAGGTAAATCCAGCTGGTGAGTCTCAGGTGGGATGGAACATGCATCCTGGATTTCGGTGCTAGTCAAAATCCAACATTGCTAAAAACCGAAATGATTAGTTTTCTGAATATTTTAGCTTTTTACTGCGGAGTATTGACCTGTTTAAATGAATGGCTGCTTTCAGAAAAATATAAAAACTTATCAAAATCTATCCTAACGTCCTTGTGTTGTACGATAGTGTATAATAGTATGGTCTAAAGTATGACAGATATTCATGGTAATTTAGTCAATTATTCAACAGCAAAGTTGAACTTACTTTAACCCTGAATATTTAGCTTCTGATTAGGTTTAGTGTTTGGCAGATCGCTTTTTGTGAGTTATTTGTTTCCGTAGGAGCAATACAATACAAAGAACTATTTTAGTCATATATATATACATATTATTAAATTGTACTTCATTATTTATTAGGCTTATCTGGATATGATTATACCGTGCATTATTATCACACCATTGGATTGTTTTTGGGAAGGTGCAAAAGTTCTTGGTCCTGAGGAAGCAATGTGGGTCCCTTGGTAAGTATCGTTATATTGTCATCGTTTTTGTATTCCTGACTTAATTTCGATGATGTCCCAATTTTGACTGACATGATTGTCGTTCCTTGTTGACAGGAAAAATCCTTTTCATCACAAATCAATTTTATCTCTAACCAGTTTTTGGTGATTGAGTAGCTTTTTAGTGATGTTTCTCCTTATTATGATGTTCATCAACATTATATACTTATCATATTTTCAGAAATTCAATCAAAATTCTCTTATATATCTAAAGTGTATAATACTTAATACCATTGTGATCAATTCACAATTGTTACTATAGACCCTTTAAATAAGTAGTATCGAAGTAATTCACTCTGTTCAAATTAAAATTTTTCCAAACTGATGAAAGATATACACTGTAAATTGAACTTTGAATTTATATTATATTCTATATTGTATATTTACATGAAAATAAATACGTACTCATTTATTTAATTCTTAAGGTTTATAGCTAATATTATAGATAATAAATAAAATTGTATAATAACCATCTGGTTTGTTATCGTATAACAAACCAGATGGTTATATTATGAAAGATTATTTTTCTCCTCTCTTCATATTGTACTGTATTCAATTTACTCATGAAGTACAATCATTTGCTAATTTTTCTTTATTCATATTTTTGTTTTTTAAAATTGTAAATATAAAATATTTATAGTGACCTATATATACATTCATAGGTGCTCGTTTCACCTATATATATATGTCATATAATGATCTTGTTATCTCCTTACGTGTAGCGTGTAATGATGAACAATAAATCATGACACTTTATTATTGAAGGTAGAAAATATAAGTCTGCGGTTATTCAATCGTTCATTCTATCCATTTATCATGTATACACATATTAAACTATTAAACGTTTTATCTTATTACTGGATGTAGAGTTTTAGTTCATAGAGTGTAATTAAATTATAGTTTAGTGGATATGTATTGTATAGAGCTGTCGTAATTACTCTACTATGATCTACGATTATTGATTATCATAGACTTTATTATTTCCTATCTAAACCACTCATATTAGCAATCTTACTATATCAACATTTCAATGATTTACAACAAAAAAAACGTAACTTTATGGCCTATAGTTAAGACTAATAAAATTTGCGGAAATGAACAGTTCAAGTTCTCTGTCCTAATGATTATGTCTCACAACCTTTCAATCAAATCAAACATAGTAGTTTGCAATTCATGTTCGTTAATTTCATAAATAACTCAATAAAACACTCTATATCTTCATTCCTATTTGATAAAGGATTTGTGTGTGTCTGAATGAAAAGACAATCAATGATATAAATGCTGTTAAAGTTCTGAATGTGTTTGTTATAGGCTTCGAGTATGTAATACTTTTTATCAATATCTTCACATAATATTTTATTGTTTAAATCACAAACTGCTCTTAACTAGACTATCACTGAAAATCGGGAAACACTGTAATTGTTTCATTCTAGCACGGAACTTCTTAACAGTGCCCATCGATGACCACCCCACCATGGGTGATTGAACCCTAAACTTTTGGACTTGTGCGTGAACGCTTAACCTTGTGATTTAAATTAGGAAAATTATATAATTTCTAAAATGTTTCCTTGGTTAATAACGGAATAATAGTTTTATAGTTTATCATACAATAAATTCTGTCGTATTACTTATGCGTTATGTTCCAGTTAATACCTCATATTTAATGTAAAAGCAACTAGTAAAACTGTTATTAACCTAATTTGATCACATGCTAATGCTTGTTTGCTCGATTTTTTGTCCTTTTTGTTGTTGTTATCAGGTTTGATGAACGCACTCTACTTCAATGGACAAATATTGATCCTGTTGGATTACTTCAAGACCTTTCTAAACGCTATGGAAATTATTCACAAACTGAAATTAAAAATCTAATTAATCTATTTTATGATTCTGGTATTAATCATGGCTATTTGAATCGTTCTTGTTTAGATCCATTAGATCCAGCTTGTCCAGTATCAGCCCCTAATTATAGAGGAAAGGTGGGTGTGTATAGACAAGCAACTATTCAACTGTTATTAATTTGATTACATTTTCAGGTTTATAAGAAAGGTATCTAAAACCAAACTTTTTAGCTGTTCGATTTATGTAATAATGCCAGAAATGCTACTAGCCTTATCCAGATTATTTTTGATTGATGTTTATAATAATACACTGTACCGTATTTGATATCCTAGATTTGAATCATCTGTCGAATAATAGGTTGTGTAATTAGTTTTGTTAATTGATGTTAGTTACAAAAGTAACATAATTCTGGTTCAGCTTTTTGTTTTGATCTGTGTATGTAATTCTTTTTGGATTCTTAGTACCTTGTAATTAAAAAAAACATGATCATAACTGAGTTAGCTACTTCCCGTACCAATCATATCAGTATCAAACAAATATTTATCAGTTATTTAATCTAAAAATAAACAGTTTCACAGACAAACAATCTATTATATTAAATCTTGCTTACTAATTTAAGTCTTTTACCTCTCTTGAGGTATAAGCCATTGACTAGGAATCTCCAACCAACTCTGCCCTGGCCTGTTCTTTCCAGTTGTTATCGACTGCCATTCATGCTTTTGATGTCTGCCTACAATCTCCGGAGTGATGTGTCTTTCTCACTTTTCCTCCTGGATTCTAACTTAGGACTTGACTTATGGTGCAGCTTAATGATTTCTTCAATGTGTTTCCCATTTACTTTCTGATTTCCTTCTAATCTGGGAGCTGGTTTGTTCTCTGCTACCGTCAATTGTTGCTGATTTTGTTTGACCAATCGATCTGCAGTATTTTATGTGGACAACTGTTTATAAATACCTGCAATTTTCGGCGATGATGATTATGGTGATTCGTCAAGTTTCAGCTCCTTACAATAAAACTTTCTTGATATTGCTGTTGAAAATTCTGACTTAAGTGTTGGCTGATAGCTCTTGTTACATCTAAAATCTACATGATACACATTCTATTTTTATCCGAATAGGATATTTCTGTTGTTTCCCTCTAATATTTTCAATTTTTGATATAATAGCGAGTATAAATATTTCTTCGATTTCATTCTGAAATTTTGTACAGGCTCCATATATCTCCAAGATACTTAGTGGTGGTTGTCCAGGATTCGCTTCCAAAATGCTTCATTGGCCAGAGGAAATAATAGTTGGTGGTCGAATTCATACTAATAATAGTTTTGATATACCTTTACATACAAATCACCAAAAAGTTTCATTTGATTTAAATCAAAATAAAACTAGATCTTCAAAATCTTCTGATCACTTTCTTTTATCTTCGTCAGTTAAATTCAATAAAACCAGTCAGGGTTCAAAAAATCTTTCTTATCTAATAAAAGCTAATTCACTTCAATCACTTATCTTGTTGAGATCTCCAAGAGATTTATATGAGGCAGTTAGACGAAATGATCCTTACAAACATGAAGATTGGACATTGGATGATGCTAGACATGTTTTACGTGAATGGAGACGGAATCTAAGACGTGTAAGTTATTTGATTTTTCCCCCACTAGAAATTAACTCGTTATACTTGATTTGTTAATTCTAAATTTCTGTTTATTAACCAACACAATTTTCATTCATTGTTTATTGTAGTTGATAATAGAACACAACACTGGTTTACAACCTAATGTTGGATGGCGATTTTTCGCATTTACTAGCGCTTCATTACATGACCTCTTACAAGAGATTACACTCCGTCTAGGACCTCTCACATTGATTGGCTGTCTTTTGTTAGTGGTAAGTATTTGCTATTGTTCTATTAATCTAGATTATAAATAGATCTAAAGCTATTCACCTAAATTTATATGCACCGATTGTTTGAATCTTCCCATTAATGCTAATGTCTGGAATCTATCGGCCTCTTTCGGCATATGTGCTTTCTCTACGAACCGCTTTGATATTGGCTCTAATTCGCAAGCATTTTTAAGCACAGATGGATGGTAGGTAGCAATGGAATCCTGGACTCACGTCTCATTCTGTTTAGGACTCATCATCTGGATGTACCTGCATCCTGAAGCTAATGTTCACTTGGAGTCTCGTAAAATGAGGATATATTTTTGTTCATTCTTATGGCCACTATTTGTTAATGATATGGACAGTGTTTTCACACCTTGAAGGTTATTTGTTTGTAATATATATATATATATATATATATATATATATATATATATATAAAGAACATTGATGGTAATTTACTGTGTCAAATTAAGACATACGCCGTAAATTCTTATATTAATTTTTATATTTTCAACTGAGTAAGCAATTTTAAGCTAAAGATTTCTTACTAATCAGTTATTAATATTGAAAATGAATTCACTCTAAGAAATTCTTGAATAAAACAACCGTTTACCTTGGTACTGTTCACGTTTATCAACTGCTGTCATTTTTAACAGAGAAACGTTTTAAAGCCCTAAGTTATTCATATAAAAGAAAGTAAATAGATTAAAAGGATTTATTTTATATTAAAAACATACTGCCATTTATTCACTTTACCAGCTTTTCTACACTCCCACCCACTTTTTTCAAAAAAACTTTTATTACTTAAGTACATAATTGTTTTTCTTTGTAAAAATGCATCTACTATGCACAGTCATCATGACATTGTATGGTTAATGAATAAAGTGTGTTGTACATTTTTCACATTTCTGTGTAATAGTCATCATCATTTTCATCGTCATTATCATCTCTATCATCATTATTACCATCATTTATAATCATGTATATGATATACATGTAGGTATTGGTGTAAGCAAACTAAATAGCAACCTTTTTTGTTATTATCCATCATACATAGCATTTTGTTGTATGTTGGTGTGTAATTAGGACAATCAATGAATTGCTTTTTTTCTCCCATTTTCTAATGCATAAATTAAAAGAAACAGTTTTACTAGAATCTATTTTGCTTTGATTTGGAGAAATCATGCATTTTTGTATATTTTTATTCTCTATATAAAATACAAGATATGGTTATAGTGTAGAGGGCGATTATGACACTTGCATGAATATATATATATCAATTTATTAATGATGATTATTTCATCTTTACTAATTCGATTTATTTTGTACTTTTGTATGGTCTTAGCAATAAGCTAATGATTATAATCTGACTATTCTCCATATACATGGACTGTTGCTTCGAGTCGTTTTGATAAATACCGACTACCTGGTGTTATAATTGCTATCAGTAGTGGTTGAAGACATCGAGTGACGTGGCTGAGAACCGATCATTATTGTACAGATGCATTTAATCTTTATCTTACTATAGATCTTGAACTTTAGTATTCTTTCGTACATACCTTTTCATTCTGCTATTTCAAACCTCGTTTTCAATCTTCAGTCTTTCTCTTCATCATTGATACCTCATTATTTCAACTAATTTATGTTCATCTTGTCGTGTTAATGTGTTATGGTAAATTGGGCCAACGCATATCTTTAACAGGTTGTACGTTGATGATAACTAACCAACAGTAGAAAACTTAGAGGAACATATGTAAACTGAGAATAAATAAATTTTTTCACTACAAACAGTATACATTGGTCTGTTTCCAACCCTACTGTAAAACTAAGACCACATTATTTCAATTTACCGTATGTGTTGATGCATACGTCAACATATCAATCAACCTCTTGATCATTCATCATCTAAATAAGCATACATCTATTAGTTAAAGTACATGTTTCAGTTTAAGCAAGACAAAACAAGGACACCTCTCTCTCTCTCTCTCCATCTATATATATATATATATATATATATATATATATATATATATCCGGTTATCGTTATAGTTGTTTGAAATCTTTATTACATTTTCTTTTTACGTTACTTTCAAAAAAATCATCTTGACTTCTCTGTCTAACTCGTATGTACATGAATAGTAAAGTCATTTACTAGCTAAAACAAAAATAAGAATTATAATCATTCACTTGTAAAACCTAATAATAATACTCATTCATTATTCAACACTTCATGTTTCAATGACGTGGGAGAATTCTGTGCTGAATATATTACGTTAAATTTTTCTTGTCACAATACACCTTTCTATAAATCTGTCTATCGGTCAGTAATGCTAAATAAGCTGTGCAATTATTGGAATTGATTTTTTTGACATGTTCATTCCTACCCCTTATGAGGATATCATAGATTTCTACTTCCCTTGTATATTGCAAAGATAAATTTTCTTTTCTGGTTTTAATTATATAAATTGTTTTCTGTCTTCACTTCAATATAGGTTCTTTATGGCGTTGTCTGTCTTCTTGGTTGGCGAGATCCTGTTCGTTCACAGTGTTGGTTGGCATTATGCGGACTGATGCTTATAGCGTTGTCTTCAGTGGCTGGATTGGGAATATGTGCAGCTGTTGGTATTCCTTTCAATGTATTAACCATTCAGGTAGAATTATTAAAATGATCACTTATGTGTGTTTTACGGTGAATTATTGATAATACAACACTGTTATTCAACTGTTTCAAACCCTCGACTATTATTTCAAGATGAAAACTTAAAATATCCTGATCATTTAATTATATATGTGCTAAATTGTGAGCTCAACTCACATGACTACAGAAATAGGTTGAAAAATATCAAAACTGATCATGTTATGGCGTAATACTGTGTATCTTGTCCAGCTAGCTTTAACACGAATTTCGGTCGTTCAATATCTAGACTGTCAGTTCCCTATCTAAACTAATCATAAATTTTCTCTATCACACCAACTTGGGGTAAATTAATCTGTCAACTTGATAACCAATGCATTTTTACTTGAATAACGACCACTAACTATCTCTTATCCATTTTTTACATTTAACTTGTAATACTATAGTAATAAGTGTTTTTTTGTCATTTGCTAGACTTCCCATTAAGACAATAGAAGCCTAGTAACTCGTGCTAAAATTTTGTCAGGTAAACGGTTAATGTTTAGCAAATTTTAGATTGTGTACTCGATTCTTTTTATATATTAGGACAATTAATGTCCCCCCTCCTATGATTATCCATTTGGGAGAATAATTTTCATGTGTTGAACGGTTTATCTAAACTCTTTGCTTGCTGTGAAATTCTCTGATACACAGAGCTGCCTACTTTGAAATCTTTTTTAATCCTTCAATTTATTCAAAACTATCAATAAATAAAGTGTTTCATTTTCCTTCATGTCTTATATATATATTTACAGGTATTACCTTTTCTTCTCCTTGGTCTGGGTGTAGACAGTATATTTGTTTTGACCACTTGTCATGAATGCTGTATCGCTCGACGTGTTGTTTTGTTGACAAATTCATCGCCTCCTTCGGATTTGGTTAGTGATGTGAATCCCTTTTTTGTTACGCCTTTTCTGTTTTTCGTTTCTGGGATAAATAAAATTTATGTATTTCATTACACTGTATGGAATATTTTGAAATGATTCAGAGCAGACGGCTACATAATATTCTGGTTAATCATAATAAAACCAATTAATAAATAGTATAACATAAAAGTAATCTTCCTGTTAATTTTAGCCAGGAATACCTGCCAAAGTATGTATCTCTGTATATGTAATTATAGTCAGTCGATTCATATTTTTTTTTCAATAAAACAATCAATTTAGGTTAGATTTTAATGTTGAATATTGTTAGCATATTCTTAAAATAAAAATAACTGAACCTTCAGTTTTCATCTTAGAAAAATTGGTTGAAGTTACTGTAGGGAAGAACGACATCGTTAAAAACATAAATGGCGGATTTTCAAGAAATGAGTTTCGTGGACATGACTTTTTATTTGTAGGAGATATTTATCACATATTGATTTTGCTTGATGAGGCAGTCATCGTCAGTGATATTGAATTGTCATTTCACTGTATTGTGAACTAATTGTAGTTGTACCATTCAAAACTGACCCAGTGGTTTTAAAGGTTGTGTTCGCCGAGATCTAAGAACCATGAGTTTGATTCTCGGTGGAATTCCATACTGGCGAAAACAGCTGTCCAGTGCTTCCTGGTTTTCGATAGGGCTCCAACTGAGAGCCATCCGTGACGAATATCAATACAAAGAACAGACTATTTGAATAAATAAATTTTCTTTGTATGTATCATACAACTAGGTGTATTTGTAATGTTGTTTTACACATGTATCATTATTGTCCACTAGATTTTCCTTTGCATTTTCTTTGAATTTTAGAGCACTTCGTCGTCAGCATTCTCCTTATCTTCATGCTCGTCGAAATCATCCAATCCTGTCCACGTATTATCTGTACATGGTCCCAGTCTACTTTTTGGTACAATATCTTTAGCTGGTGCTTTCTTTTCTGCTGCATTTATCCCCGTCCCGTTAATTCGCCAATTCTGTTTACAGGTAAAAAGATATGACAAACACTATTAAACGAATTTCTCTATGGTGATTTTTTTCACCGTACTTATATATAAGTAATTTTCTGTTATTTGCTTTGTGTATTATGTATATATATTCATATATATGTATAATAGCATTAAAACATTTTCCATTGAATGGATGTGTTTTCACATTAAAAGTAGTATAGATACAAACATGGTATTTTTTAGTAAACAGATCATCAGCAATATTTTTGTCTCTGTCCGCCTGTCTGTAACTAGCACGTTTTACTTTGACCATAGCAGAAAATCTCATCTGGACCACCTAGTAACATTTTAAATCCGATTTGTAAATCACTATTGTCTATTATTCCTCTCTCTCTCTCTCTCTCTTATATATATATATATATATATATATATATATATATATATATATATATGACTTAAATATTAGGATTGGATAGAAAGACACCTAATCTGTACATTAGTTGACACTGATACATGACTACACATTCTATATCTTTTAGTTTTAGTCTTTTTATAAAAATAATCCTTTTTATAAATTTATCTTCCGAATGTAAAGACCACCCTTCAAGTTGTTCATCTCTGATCAGTTTTTTAATGTGTATTATAACAAATACTTTTATCTCTTCTATGTTCTTTCCTCCTCTTATCTCTTAGGTTCATTTAAAAAGAATCCCTAAAAGCATTTGTTAGATTGTCGTCTAAAGTGGCGACTAATTTACTGCACATTATCACCTACCACATAAGCTGATTTATATATATATATACACACACGCATATAATTCTATACAAATGGACAAATAAGAAAATCCTCTTTATCTGTTTAATTATGTCTGTAAATTTAGTTGTAGGTCGAAAAAGAGTACATTCGATATTGGTGGTCTATTGTAAAGTTTCAAACATTCATATATATACATACTTACATAAGGGTAGATAATCACCAGGAAAGAAATTTCAAATTTTCTGTAAATTGTAAATGTTCCTGTCCAACTTTATTGTACATTTTATCTTAACTTGATATTTATTTAGTACAAATTCGATGGTCACATTGAAATTATTTTAACAAATAAAAAAAATCAACAACTTCCAAATACTAATTTTGTATCCGTGTTAAAATACTCGTTAATTGTAATCTGATATTACATTGTATACTATAAGTAACACTTGAATTGAATACACTATAAATACTTAGTATTCTATAATCACTTATTATTATTTTTTAATGTTTTCGATAGATATGTTGATATTTTTTTCAAAATCATAAGTATTATAATATTACGTAACAGTTATAAGACGTAATTTTTGCACAATGAATTTCATTAAAGTTTCGTTTTGTTTTTAGCTAATAGAATGTATAAAACACACTTATTTTAATGCGATTTAAAATCTGTTAAATAAATATCACTATGCATAAGTAAATATCTTTCATAATGGTGTCAAATCAAAGATACTCCTATTGTTAAGAACCAAAGTATACAACTATATTGTTTGGTTTACTGTAACATATAATCTCTGAAGAAAATCAATGTAAATTTTAGAAACATTCATGTATATGTGTCATTTTAACTTGGGTGGGAAATTTTCACTTTTCTCTTCTCATTTCTAGTTTTTTTTTCTCTTGTCATAGTAACCACAAGAGTTGTATACGTTTTTCAATGTTGATTTTTGATTCCATGTCTTTATCATATTGTTAGAATTTATGCAGAAGAAAGTATACATACATTTATTATTCAATAATCAGTTTTTCTTTTGTTCTAGTTATAGTATATAATTAATCAAAAAAAATTTATTGTTTATGTAACTTGCCACTGTGTTGCCGAATGCTAGACAAATATTTTGCTGTATAGAACTGATTTTTTTGTTTTTGATATTGAAGATATGAGTTTGTTTAACTTGGAAATTTCTCACAATTTCATCAGTCGGTTTTTATTCACGGTACAATTTATTAATTATCAAATGAAATTAATAATCTTTTTCTAATATGACAAGAACAAGAATAGTGAAATAAGTCAAAATAAAAGTGAATATTGTTTAGCGTCCTGGATCGTAATCAGTTTCTTACTAATATAGGTATTGTTGCCTAGTATATTTCCTAACATTTAAATTAAATATAATGATAAATAATAACAAGTACATATTGATTTAGTACTCTCTTAAGTTATTCATTTGTCAGCTAAATTAACAGAATATCATTTAGAGTTTTAATACCAGTCAATGGATGATGAGGAAAGTTTAAAGTACCTTGTTTTAATGTAGAAGAGGAATTAGAGTCATAGGTGGATGAGAGGTTGAATGTATTGTTTTTGAACGTAAAGTTCAGACTTGAATTAGTGAACTGATCTTCTGTTACGAAGAAAGTCAAATGGTTTTTTTTTTACAGAAAATTGGTTTAAAGTAGTCAGCACAAGAATTGTCATATCTGGGTCTCTTTGGGTAGAAAAAAGACCTAATTCACTCTTTATCTTCGAGGGCTAGGTGAATATTCTCTAATAATACAAAAGATGATGTATTACTTCATCTTCAACAAATACTCATCAGAATGGCTATACACTTTGATTCATCGATAAAACTTAACATCAAAGCTACAACCTGGAAGCTCACCAGCAGTTCAAAATAAAACCTTTTTTATGAATATTGAATCTAAAAGAGATACATTTGCAGAAATCTTAAATAACCGTGTTCCGAAATCCCTTAGTAAAACTTTGTATCGTCTTCTCAAGCCGCTTTACCATTCATGAATTTGTTATGGATAAACTTCCAATTTCGGCTACATGGATGTGGATCTTTAGGTTTAGTTGCTGTTTTGGATGACGTTACATTGGCTGCACAAATACTTTATAAACACATCTCAGAACACTACTCGGTATAGGTTTCAAGATGGGGTTACAAAACAATCAATACAAGAGCAACCCATAAACTCTGGTTACGTTTATCCAAAGAAAATCGTCCTTCAAACTGACCTACACAGTGGAAAGAATGGAGTCAAAAGGGCTGTTGAATCTAAAGCTTATGCACTGCTAAGACGTTGGCGACCCACCTTGCTCAAACCTGAACTTTGCGCGCAAAAACAATACACCCAACCTCTCAAACTTCTATGACCCTAATTCCTCTTCTACATTAAAGCATGGTACTTTAAGGTTTCCTCATCATCCTTTGGCTGCTATCAAAACTCTAGATGACACTCTGTTAATTTAGCTGACAAAGGAACAACTTATGATTAACATAATGACTTGGCATAAAAATGCAATTGATTTTACTTGTTGTGTACATTCATTTTTGAAAAAAATTCTGTTCCTTTAGTTTTCATGATTTCTAGTTGATTTATTACGGAATTTATCTTATCCTTTGTTATCACAGGCTGGTATTCTTATTGTTGTACAATCGATCAATGTATTTATGCTCTTCCCTGTTCTATTACAACTTGATGCCACTCGTCGTAATCAAAAGCGTTTAGATGTGTTGTGTTGTTTACGTCAACCGCAACTAGAAACAACGATGATGTCAAATCCCCCCAAATTAACCACTTTTTGTCAATGTGAATCATGTCATTTACGACCATTTAATTACTATTCTGGTAGTAAAAATTTAATTCCTAGTCGTTGTCATCGTCATCATCATCACCACCACCATCACCATCATCATCATAATCATAATCATCACTATCATTGTCGACATTGTCGTTATATAAACTCAAAAAAATTAACAGGGGGTAGTCGTGATATTTCTATTAATTTACCAGAGACATGTATCAGTTCTAGTTTTTCACATCCAACTATACAAGTCAATGTAGTTAATCATCTTCCTAGATCAAAACGTTCATCGTCTTCTTCCAATTTTAATAATGAAGTTACTAAAGCAGTTGTCAAGACAACAGCTAATTCTAATGCTAATACTGTTCATACTACAGTTACTCTAACTGGGAATCAAGATAAAGAAACAAATACTACTAATAATATTTCAGAGTCTAGTGGAACTGAAAATGTATCAGTTTTGGAGGTTAGTTCTATAGTAAAACTGCATTTTATCTAGATATCTTTACATGTTACAATTATATTTTTAGTTATTTTGTAATGAATAACAAATAATAATGGTACTGTCGGTTAACTACTTTTTAGGTGTAAATCATTCTAGATACATTATGCAGTGTATTATCTGTTTAGTAACGCAAGTATATATATATATATATATATATATATATAATTGTTATTTAATTTATGATTCTATTGACATCTTCGTCCTTGAGTTAATTTTCAAAGTATACATCTACCTACAATACTTATCAGATAAATATTCTTTATGTGAGTGATATATGATATGAAAGATTGTAAAGTACGAACAGTAGCAGTTGGCGACCACCTCTTAAAATGAAATCCATTATGTAACATGTTTTCATTGAAACAAGAAGACAGTATTGTCAAAATCTGCGAGACTCAAACAAGTTTATAATTCAGTTTATTCTTTGATCAATCATGCATTACTATTGATGTTATTAGTCTCAGATCTAACGTTGTTGAACTCTATCGGTCTCGGGTTCCTACCGAAACTTTGGGAATTCTTTACGAAACTAGTTAGTAGTGAGCAGTTTAGAGTGGAAAGGTTCTTCTGTTTGGAGATAATTTCCATCACAGAATGATATCTAAAAACTGTCGAAAACTACAAAATATTGAACAGGTGTTACGTTTTATAATAGAGCTGCTCAACAATGCGCTCGCGAAATCTCCCCTAAAGATCGAAATCAAAACCTTCAAATCTCGCACTGATCTCGCTCATTCTATACTATTGAGTTACCCGAACGTTTTGAATAGTCGATTATAGGCCAGCGTATGGCTTGCCACCTTAATCAATATTATTGACTGAGTACTATTAGTATGAAATTCCTATGGACTGTACTTCAAAAAGTCAAATTATGGAGGTTTAAGTAATAGAATGAAGTGGCCATAATTGGATATTTCGAGAAAGATATAATGAACGGAATACACCCATTAAGACATTAAACTAATCTTTCTTATTTAAAGATATAATGCTTTGTCATGTTGATTAACTAGTAAATTCCGATTAGTTTTAATATTTCGATAGAGGAACAGTGTATGATTATTTTATTGGCATAAAATTATTGAAGCGTATCTGGCTTTTCATACCAATCATACGTCATAGTCTCAGTCTTCAGTCTATATTTTTTTAAAGTTTATAAACTGAAAGCATGTTCAATTTTTAGCTCTGGTTTGATTTCTAGAAAATTAGCTTACTTAGTATATCTTCAAAATACTGTTAATTTGATTTGGTATTTTTTGTTGTGGAAAATATTCACATTTGAACTATATTCAATCTGGTGTAACTATTGAAATATCCACAGTTTTTTTATCAGTTCCCTTATTCTTTTTTTCCCGTAGACTGTGCTTGTACACAGCATTGAAACCTACCTTCTTTTTTCTCTGTTCTCTATTCCTCTTTTTCCGTTAAACGCTGATGTAGGTAGGTATATATGTAGGTGTTGATGGTAGTGTCGATGTTTTTCTTCTCTTCAAATTTCAACCTACCTGCTGGTGTGCTTGTGTATCAATAAGTAAATATCACTGTGTAACAAAAACAATCAGTTACTATTATGTACATTAGCCAAAAATAAGTTTTCACCATAAAAATGCACATATGTATGTATGCATAAATGTGTTTACAATTTTAAGAACCAGAATGTCTAACCTGTCCAATCACAAATACACAAAACAAATGTCACAAAATATTTTGATTGGTTCTGACAAAAAGTATCAATTTTTTTCTCGAAAACTTTCTGTTTTTAGTTGTTTTTTTTGTTCTCTATCGATCAGCTTTCTGTATTTCATGTAGTGAAGAAGGGGAAAGCATTGTTGGACAGTAAGGCTGTAATTATAACAAATATATATTGATATATAAATATACAATAACAGTTGTATAAGCAGATTAACTAGCTAGATTTCTCTCTACTTTGCATTTTTAACGTGTTTTTTCTTGTCTGTTTTGACTTGAGTGTGTATAGATGAAAGTTCACAATCCTCTCCTTTCTTTTTTTATATAAAAAAATAAGCATTCTATAGTAAACTATTGTTTAATTTGTCCAATATATTGATTTCGTGCATAATCTATTTATCCATAGGATGTAACATTAAAATTCAACAGAGGTTACTTTGTAATAACAAATTATTTACTTCTATTTAGGCGTCCAAACGATAAAAGAGTTGGATGTTAAAGTTGAAGCATATACATTTCAGTTGCTCTTTTTACTCACTGTTATTAGTTATTTTTATTATGGAAATTAGTTTTACTACTTTTTTAATGTTTAACTTAAGTAGTGTAGTGACCAGGTGGAAAAAGCAACGTGGTACTTTCAATCCTGGTATCAAAATTTCAAAACACTTCCCAATCTACTTCCGTTTTAATAGTTGAATCATTAACTCGTTTAAAAATAAACATTTATGTACTTGAGTTGGAGCTATATTGTTTATAGTGAAGTCTAATGATTCTTCTACCCGCTCCTTGAGCGAAAGTACATTTAGTGCAGTCGCAACTAACTAGCTGAAAGTTGAGTTCTTTACCCAGTGAATTAAGTATCCTTATAGCTGTGTAGATATCTGTTCACTTAGTTAAAGGGGTTTATTGATAATTACAGTGATTTTACTATTGTTTCAAGCGTATTTTTAAATGTAAATCGTTATCGTTTTATCTGAAGTAATATCACTATTGATTCAATCTTATTTCTTTAGTGTGGAAAAAACTGCCCTACTTGTCAGGAAGTTACTTCAATACCAGAGCAAGGAAGTCTACAGAAATGCGTAAATAAATCCGAATCTTATTCAGAGTCCAGAACAACTATCTCTTCTTCATTGCTTATACGGTTCACTAGACACTTTGCTTTTTTCATTACTAGTCATTGGAGTATACAACTGTGTATATGCTTATTAGGTCTTGGATTATTTTGTGCAGCTGTGCTTTGTGCAACTTTTAAACTACGCTTAGGTTTGGATTGGTCCAGTTTAACACCTTCAGATACCATTGAATATGGATTTATAAAAACGGCGGGTCAAGCCTTTGGTTTGAGTAATTTTCATATTATTGCTCGTGGTTCTGATCTGCCTGGTTCTCGGCCGGTATCCAGTCAGTCACTAGCACAATATACAACTTCAACAGCTTCCGGTGGAACTTCTGCCCGATCCCGCGTAAGCTTGGCTACTGTCGGACGAGGGATAGACTTTCCAATGCAACAGCGCCGTCTACGTTGGATGTATGACTGTTTAACCGGTGTTTCAGGCGTTATGTTATCTGGACGAAAGGTGTGGCTAGATACAATGCGTGATTGGTTGGAAGAGGTACAAAATGCATTTGATAAAGATCGTAAACGAGGATACATTATGGATAGTGGACATTGGAATGCCAACGCAAGTGAACTTGGTATTCTTGGTTTGCGATTAATCGTTCAAACTGACCGTGGTCCTGAGTTAAGTAGAGTGAGTTTTTCAGCTAGTTACTATAAATTTTTGCAAATGGTTTATTCACCTTATCATGGATTCATAACTTCTTCTGTCTTTCTTTTTCTTCTCAGATCAATACTGGTCGCATAGTACGTGGTGGTATAGTAGATCCACCAGCTTTCTATACACTATTACGCGTTTGGCGTTCCAAAGACGCTTTGAACTTTTCTTCTCTACCCTGTATTATTTACCCAGAACCAAGCATAGTTCATGTAGGTCGTCTAACTGGTCCTGGACGCCCTTCAGATCTGCATGCATTATCTCCGGCTGAACCAATCGAATTTGTTCAAACAAGCTTTTACGCTGTAGGTGTTAGCGAAATGAACTCACAGCTTGATTTAGTTCAGGTAATTGATTTGATTATTTTTTCATATTAATTATTTTTATGAATCGTTAAATATTGTTTATAGTTAGTGTAAATTTATTTCTTGATTTATTTAAAACTTTATTGTTTTTCCTTGTAAATGCCTTCAATTTCAAACTGTCTAAATATACTTCTACCACAATTTAATTGCTATAAACGACTTAATCTTTACGGGACTAATACTAGTTAAAGCATTAAAAAACAATGCGGAATGTTCCGTTTCAACTCACTGTTTGCACTTACTCCTATTGAGAATTATCGACAAAGTGAACACTTCAAAAGCAGACACGACAACTATTCACTATTTCGATTGGTTATTTAGTTTGATGTTTAAATATAATTAAAAGTTCTAACTCATCAAGACATACATAGATTGTGTTGGTATGTAGTGGAATTTCTTCGAGATAATTCCTACGCTTGTGTATATCACAGCCTTATAACCGTTATTCAATGCCTCTCAACAGTGATCAACCATACATGTTCGTAACAGCATGGAGATAATAGCATACAGATGTCAACAAATTGCTACTGACAAAATGACACTTTCTATTGAATAAATTAATTAAATGGTCTAATAAGCTTAAACGTCTACATATTCAATTGTAAGCAAGAGTGTTATAAGTATATGTCAATTTATACGAATAAGTGATTGTCGTAAGTTTGAATCTTAACAGAATATCGTGATAACAGTCGAATTCATCCATCCACCTTAAACTATATAGTGTTGTATACACCTTTTATGTGAATAGATATAGGTAGTATGTAACAGGTATAAGAATTGTAATGCTTACCAGCATAAGATTAAAATATAGAGAAGAGGAAGGAAAACATGGAGCAATCGGAATAACAACAGGATTGGAAGTATGATGGATTATGCAAAGGACAGCTCAAGGAAGATGTGGAGATGATGTATGATTTTCATATTTTTTTCACCATGCAATAGATTGGTTTGCCATACCTGAGTAAGTTATTCTACGCGCATTTGTTTAATATTTATAACCTTTTTTCCTTTACTTTCTCTGTATGCAGCAAATTCGACATATTACAGAAACTGCAACCGTTCAGGGTGTTCCAGCTTTTCCTACTGGTGTTCCGTTTACATTTGTTGAACATTATATTTATTTGGTTCGAGAGACAGCAATCGCTTTCGGCATATTTTGTACTGTAATTCTGTTTACTGGATTAATTTTATTCTCGTCTCCGATTACTGTTTGCTTCTACTTATAATTGGAGCTGTTGGTGGAGCATGTTCCGCGATCATTGGTTTAGTTATTCTTAATTTGGCTTTGAATCCTATTTCTGCTTGTTTGTTACTAGTGTCCAGTGGTTTAGGGGCTAGGATATCTGTTGGATTTCTTGGATCTTGGCCAGTATCTCATTTGTATACAGATTCATCTTCGAATCGGTCAACTCGTAAAATATGCTTATGTCAGTCTAATTCATCATATGGATGTACGGTATCTGATTCAGTTCAATTTTGTACTCGTGTTCAAAATCCCAAATATGATTCCAAACAAATTACACTGTCTAATTCACCTTCGTTTGCTCTTAATACTACTATTACCGTTTCGGAACGTCGTCAACTAGTTAGGGGTCAAATAGTTCGTATACTGAGTAATCATTTTACTCCAGCTTTTCATGCTACAGTTGGACTTTTGTTAGCGTTATCTTTACTCGTTGCTGCTCGTGTACAGTTTATAGCTGAGTAAGTTCTCTTTTATCTTGATAGTAATAATGATAATTTAATAATTGTCATCCCTTAGTATTCTTCAATGGTTGTGTTTTATTTATTTATTTAATTTATTGAGCACATAAACATTGGTACAAAGAGTCACCAAATACATATACGCCACACAATAACAATGAGAATATGAAGAGAGAGAGAATGTAAAGTGCGTATCAGAAAAAAGGGGACAATAACGAACAGAAATTAGTGTATGATCGTGAAATAATAATAATAATAATGGGAGAGGCAGTTCAGTTAGCAAGGGTACAATTAGAAAAATTCTTCCAGTTAAAGAAGTTTCGTCCATTTTTATGAAGAAAGTAAAAGAAAATTATAGCAGGATCTTCACTGGCTTCTATTCTGAGTCGTATCTGATAAAATCTTAAGTCGCTGTGTTGCATCATCTCTAGGACCTCAACCAGGGAGTCATGAAGAACCAACAAAAGCCATTCCTGTACAGCTTTCTTTCATACCACGACACCATGTCATACAGTGACCACCTTTCCGCTTTTCCCAACTAATCCCAGCGTCGACAAATAACGCACGACGTGAAATTCTCTGGGACGACATTCGTAGAACATGTCCAAGCCGCCGAAGTCGATATCTCAAGATGGTGACACTTTGAATTATCGTCACTGTGCCCGAACACTTGTTGCTGTTGTTGCCACTGAATGTCGACAATCCTTCGGAGACAACGACGAACTAACACAAAAACTCATCATTCTCAACTCGAAGAGGCCAGGTTTTTAAAGATAGGGACAATTATAGACTCATTCCACGATGTTGGAACACACTCTCACTGCCAAACCTTTGTAAACAAATCAGATAGTTCCTTAACTAGAAAGTTACCACCATCTTTAAAAAGAGCCGGAGGTAAGTCATCTGGGCCTGATGATTTGTAGGTCTTCAAGAGTTGGAGTTCCTTGCGGACTTCTGCCTCTCTAGGTGGATCAGTCGTCACAGGTCATGGAGAACAGTACAATCTGATCGATGTTGCTTGGGCAGCAGATCAGTTGAACTGCTCCCCGAAAAACTCTGCCCATCGTCCAGGATGTTGATAGACGTTAGTGATTGACATCATATCATCTTCACAAATTGCTTTGCTCACACCAGACTTCTTGCTTCCTGTGGCTCGGATGTATTGAAAGTGCTTCCGGCAGTTACCAGATGCAGCTGCTGCTTCCAACTCATTCCCACTCCCCAATCACTCGGCTTCTCGGTGCATACGCAAGGTTTACCCAATTTCATTACGTGGCATTCGTCGTTTATGGTCAAACGCACGGTCACCAAGAGTAGATTGACGGGCTTCAATGAGTTGTAAAGAGAAGAAACTCAGTGCTTATAAGCGGGACGTTTCGCGAAGTCGTAAGCGACTTTACTCGACATTTTCCTAGCGTCATGCAATTACAACCAATGCTCATACATACTTTTCGGCGGGATGGTAGCTAGCCTTGAACCTAGCTCGGTTTGATATTTAGTTACGACAGGAGTTGCAACAATTTACTGACATTGATCCGTTTAGGACGATGAATTTGTTGTCCACTCAAAAGTAAGGTAAGGTTAACTCAAACAGGGGCATGATCAGAGTTCAGATAGGTACTCCAAAGGGAGCGGCGGTCTCGTACACAACCACGCCAGCGGTAGCTATCGCGATGTGATCAATTTGAGTCTAGGCCTGAGATGCTGAAGGAGGGCACCTGGTGGCACATCGGCAATGACTCTAGTGCTAGCCAGAAACAGGTTGTGGTCTTCGCACAATTGCAGTAGACGGTCTCCGTTATCTGACCTGCGACGAACAAGTCCCCATTAGTCACCCAAACAACTCTCTTCTTTGCCTAGATACCCGACCTGATCTTTCAAGTCTCTGGCTAGTACTACACTATCTGTCGAACGCACTTTCTGTAGAACAACTGTTAGCTGGTGGTAAAATTCATCCTTGATCGCTTCCGGGGTGCAATCTGTCGGGGCATAGGCGGAGACGACGAAAAGACGTTGTTTCCCACACCGATTTCTTCTCACTTTGATGAAACTTTCTCATCTAATAGCACATAACCGACTGTTAGTGGAGATCCAATTGATCAGTTTCCACCATAAACGAGCTTCTGTATAAGTTGAAAAGTAAGGATACATAAAGTGAGGATAGAAAATAGTAGATAAGTGACGTAGTATATAAAAACAATCAAATGAATGTGAATTGTCTGAATTTTAATTGAAGCGAGGATAGTATTTCCAGTATTAATTGTCATTTCATTTGATTTGTGTGTGGGCTGTGACACTGCCCGGGTGGTTTTCTAAGGGGACCGAACCCGGAGCCGTTGACCTAAAGGTATAATCCACAAATCAGTGGAGCAACACACGGAGATGCAACCTCATGGTAGTCAGTGACTAACAATAGGTTCATACGGGATAGTTCAAATTCTTGCTAATGATAATACAAATTGGTATAGCTAAAAATCGCTTCCAGTGGGACACGCTAAGTGAAAATATTTTCTTACGGTTCTTTTTCGTGATCGTACTGAGTTATTTTAAAAATTATTTCATTTGTCCAGTTTTTGACGATTATATTGTTTTTACTATTGTGATTTTGAGTCTTTTCTTATCTAGTCTATTTTCTCATGGTGCGGAGACTATAATTAATGAACGACCTTAGAATGAATCTTGAGTGACCTTGAGGAATATTAGCCAATCAGAAAACAGTTATTATAGAGTAAAAATATACAAAACCAAAGAATTAAAGTGGATACATTTCTTTTACATGGTTCAAAAACTTGTCAAGGTTAGAAAGAGGTTCAGAGGTTCTAAAGTCGTATTGCATATGGTGGCGGAAATCATCTATATGGCTCCATAATAGTCGGCCTCTGGAGTCATGTTAAGGTCGCGAAATCTCTTTCAGCCTCGTTCACATAGCTTTAATATTGTTTATGTACACTGGGGTCCACAAAATGTCGCTTGTGGATAACGACACGATGCACATAACCATGTCTATGTAGGAATATATGCACTCTCCAAATCATCCGTACATATTGTAGTACCCGGATACAGCCAGTGTTGCTGGTGCTTTTATTATCCAGTTCCAACAATTGTCATAATCTGCTTTAGTCTCATTCTGGATCGAGCAAAAAATTCTATTCTAGCAAACTCCTTCCTCCAGCACATATTAAATCGAAAGACAACATCATCACGGTAGTCTGCAAAAGATCCACAAATCGTTTGATTCCACAATAAAAAATAAAGGGACTTCTTAGTAGTCCCATTTGTTGTAGCCGTTCAATTATCATTTTATCTCTAAAATCCTCTGTGAACTGACCATACGTGAGCATCAGGTACTGAAATTGGCGTCATAACCTTGAAACCCCTCAAACTCTTCTGACTGTCTCGTCCATAAATTATAGTCTCGCTTTATATCCCTTTAATAAGTTGAATATTTTTCAATCCATTTTTTCAATTGTCACTGTAGGGTCATGGAATTTTTTTCATTTTATTGAGCCGATCAATTTTAGACCGCCATTGAAAACGTTGAAGCACTGGATGATCGCTTTGTGACTTCCTAAAAATGCGCACACACGACCTTGGACGCGGGAATTGAAACCAGTGCTTTCGATCATGCGGGCGGACGCTTACTATCTAAACCACTGAGCCGGCATCCACTTTAAATTGGCTACTTATTCAATAAATTTTTTTATGTATATATATTTTGATGAACATCGGAAAAAATTAATCTTTTCATTTTTTGAATGTTGACATATAAATTAAAGTTGTTTTTTAGTTTCTGATTAAAATAAGCTTATGTATTCTATTGAAGCTTGCTTTTGCTCTATTAATCAACCACTTTTCAAGGTAAAATTGATCAGAGTGAGTTTTTCCTTCTTTAATCACAAAATATAATATGATACATGTACTAGTTATGGTGTATTACTTGATCGATGCATTCTGTACTCGGATTATTTTATGGATCGAAAGGATTTTCATATAAAATTCAAAAGGATGGTTTTTGGCGGGAAAAAAGTAGGAAACTATGTAAAACTTCCTATTTTGAATGTTCAACATGATGAAGATATTTTTACTAATGTTCATCATCTGCTGTATTTTCTGTGCCCGATCCAACATATTGATTCTGCCTCAACTCACCATGCGTTAATCTATTTACTTGTTAAAACTAGTCATTGTGATTAATCCGTATGTTGTAGTTTATCTTTTAATCATCATTTCTTAATTATAGCGCATAAATCTTTTTTCTTCTATATTCTTTTCTTTTTTTGCAGTTACTTTTTCCGTCTGATCGTTATTGTTAGCTTTGTTTGTTTATTCAATGCTGTGTGTTTAATACCAACTATCTGTTATCTGATTGGTCCATTCCATAGCCGTGTAAGTGCCTCTTTTTAAAATAAATATGTATATTAATTGATAAAATTTTGCAGTAATGATTGCTTTTGTCTCTGGTATGATGTGTCGTTGTTTTCTGCCAATGTTTTGTTTGTTTTTTAGTTTTGAAAAGAACATATGCAACAGTGATCAATATTTACCAAACTGTCGACTTTAAATTAGGTACTTATACAATAATTGTTCTATGTATGTGTATTGTGAAAGAAATAGGGAAGAAAAGAACCTCATCAACATAATTGTTTATTTGATACTTCAAAATTTATTGATTAATTTCTTGTTTGTAGTGTTCCACAAGTCTTTTTGGAGGGGGATAAACAAGATCTTTTCTCGATTCCGGAAGAATTTGTTTTACTCTGTTGTAGTTAGCATGAAGCAAATAAATACAATTGATGAGTAATAGCAAAGCTGCCGTAAATATAGTAATAATAATAATAATAATAATAATAACTAAATACATACGTATTTATGCATACTCGCAGTTGTAACAGCTTGTTATTGTTTACTATCAAATGATATCTTATAGTACAGATCGAATTTTACTTAAAACTAAACATTTGATATTCTAGAGCTTTGAACATAGTTGCTTTATTCTATTATGCGTGTTATATCCTTATGCCCGATTAATTATATCACGTGATACGACACCGACTTATACGACCAAACTAATGACGCATAAAGCTGTACGAGCAGCCTAAAGTTCTTATTGGTCCTCCAAAATAATAGCTTCTGTCATAACCCAGCCGGTTTAGTCCAAAACGCCAATATTAGCCTCCAAGTTACGAGTCATATATTTCAGACATACTGGGTTTATATACATCAGACCATAAAAGAGAAAATAACAGTTATACAAGATCAAGCCAAAAAGTGGCTGTAATTGTGAGAGACTTACTAATAAATTGAGAATATCTTAAGAATAGTAAATCATATGATAATAGTCAATAAGTCAAATCGAGGCCTTTCATAAGAGGAATATGAATATACATATAATCTAGTTACTTAACAGTTATACAACAAGAATATTCGTATCATATTAGTCCATAAGTAATTCTTAACGGTTACCATTCATTTATTCTCGTCCGGATATCACAATGTGGCTCCGCAATAGCATGCATATGGATAACATCTTGATAAACATTAAATTGAATACATTCATGTATGGTGGCAAGCGTGTTAATTTCAATTCACATAATTATCTTCTAATAGCTGAAATGTTCAACTCCAGTCAACTGGTAATATTGCACTATTGTAATGCAATATTAGTCAATTAAATAAAAGATTTGAATCTAGTTGACTTAAAGCTATAGTTCTTGTATTGATATTCTTTACATAACAGAATTAAAAGTTGTATTCCAATAGTCCTAAAGTATTTATTTAAAGTAATACTTCTTAAGACCATTTTCTAATGTGATATAGTGAGTAAATCCTATTTGAAATCTTTGCTAAAGCATGCAATCTTTGGTTTTCCGAAGAGTGGTAAGTTCGATTGTGTGGTTATTCTGTTCTCTAATTAATTAATCTATCATTCTTTTTCTAAAGTATGAATTAAATTTTTTTGTATGTTGTAGGATGATATAATTGATTCCAGAATTACACATATAGGGTACTCGTCATTTATTGTTCACTGATATTTCTTACTCCTTTGTTTTTTTATACGACTCCTTCAGTTAAAAATTACTATTCTACCGTATTTTACATTTTGTAAATATGTTTTAATTCTTTTAAAAGAATATTTCACTTATCTTTAAAAAAGCCTAGACACTTCGTCATACGCAGTAATAAATCTTTCTAACATTCCAATTTCTAATCATCATATTTTCTGCATGTTTTCATATAACCTTATCAATACAATGATTCTGTCAAATATATATTGGAATGATAAACGGAATATAAAATTAACCGTAAGAACATAATTACAAACAATATGATATTATTCAAAGGAACGTTATTTGCTAGAATGTTCTGGTCAAAACGCTTTGTATTTTTCCCTTGAGTATTAATAAATAGTAGCAAATCAATTTAGAAGTTATGACGTGCCTTCTCTAAAAAAATTTACATGATAAGTTATGACTAGACTATACCAACTTCAATAATCATATTGTATGATTCTATCCTTAGTGGAGAGATGGTAGTTGGGTAGTAGTTATCCTAATAAATTGTATAGTTTAATTAATAATTTTTAAAAGGTCACTACATAGAGTGAAAAATTTTCAATACTATACCTACGTTTGGTAGTAATTAGGAAGTATTTTGAAGAATTCTTTTAGGTTAGAATTAACTAATAGCGTTCAACTTTTTAACTTATTCTGACGGAATACCTATCATAAATTGATTTTATTTTATGTAATTTTAAGGAGTACAAGAAAAGTTAAATGTTTCGTTCTTTATCAATTCTTTTCCCTAAAATCCACAACTAATAATTTATTGTGATAAATATTTCTGTATATGTATATGAGCGAAAGTAAAAAATGCTATAACTTACTACATTATTTCATTACAAAATTCAATGTTGTGGCGTTTGAACATTTACGGTTCTTCTAATATCTGTTGTGTCTTGAAGTTTGGGTCAACGGTAACTCCTAATTAGTAATGATCGAAACTTTCTAAATATGAATGCAAACTAATGGGAACGGCATAATATAGCAGCTGATACACAAAACACCAAACAATACAACCCAAGAATAAGTCGAGAGTGTAGGAAAAGCTTGGTATTCCGTAACAGTTACACACAACTATGGGGCACAGAAAAATTAACAAACTGAAAATGATGTCAACCAATCAAAAGCATCAAAGGTCTTCCGAAATTATGGAGTAAGAATAACAACAGCTAAATAATTTGAGGTCATCCTAGTAACATTATTACCCAGATATCGGGAATTTTCTATTAAAAAATTATTGCCAAAATCCCACTTTTTTCACTATTTAACACTTAAAATTGATATCAGAGTGAAAATACACGTGCTGGATTCTCTGAATTGGATTATTCAATTATACAGTTATTCATGTATACAGTGGGCGTTGATGATGTTATCGTCGTCCAGAACAGCAGTGAAAAGAGACTGGAACTAAACCATATAGTCCAGAAAACAATACATAACATTCATCGAATTGATCCATTTTAACTGTGATTACACATTAATTTCAGCATTGATTCTTTCTTGAAATCGATAGAGACTTATTTGTTGCTTGTAGTCGTGTTAATCATTGTAGTAGTCGCTATTTTATCTACGTTAGTCTATAGAAGTGAAGGAATCCTTTTTCAACGAATTTATTATCAAGCTGTACATTCGTACGATAACGATGAGACATGCTTCCTTTGTACGCACGGTTCTGGTTTCAACTCATGGATGGTTAATTCTTCTGCCACTTTAAGGAGTTGAATACGAAGAAATCTAGGTAGATTTAGACGAATTGTATAAACAACCATGAAATCAAACTGTGGATCGGTAGAATGATTAGAGTTTGTTAAATGTTCAAGAGTGGAACTTCTAACTGTTTTCCTCTCACAGGTTCTCGTATCGGAGTAGGAAATAAGCACTAGCTACGACTTATGTACCTTGCTTCACAGGAGCAGGTAAATGGGTAGACGCACATGGAGACAACCAGATGGGCAAGCTTATGCTTTGCGGATGCGGAAAATAGGTTCCTACTAGTGAACGTTATTCTCAGCTTTGCTGCATAAAACATACTTTTTATCACTGCCGCTGACTTTTAATTAAATCAGAAGCTTAGTCACCTTTAAATTCTGGATTCATATGAAGGTATTTATTTGAAACGGGATTGCCAGATTCCTTGTCCCGACTTTTTTTCTCATATTCTTCTCTATGAAGTAGCTTGGATAGCCGTTTGCTTTTACTCATTCATTTCACCTGTCCATAGAGTCGTCTCTCAAGTTACAATTTGTTTTTTTTCGAAAAATTCTCATTTCTTATTAATTGTTAAACGCTCTTTTTTTAAATTATCTTTTTCCTACTGAAAAAAAACAGTTCATACTTGGACGACGTAATTTGTCGAATATTACTTCAACATCACATAAATCACCAATACAACAAGACGATACCAACTATCCTTCTCATCTTTCTCCAGCAGTGAATAAAACTATTCATTATCTGAAATGTCATCCATCAGGAATAAATTTTAATTCTGAACAACATCATATCAATATGATAAATGATTCACAGTCATCTTTTTCAAGCTCACCTTCTAATATGTCTCCAAGTCTATCATCATCAAGTTCTTCTCGTTCATCCAGTTCCTTTAGTCATTCAGAACAGAATCATAATGATGAATCTAGTCAAAATATGAAAATCTCTAGTAAAACAGAATCAATTTATAAAGAGTCTAACTGTTTAACTGTGAAAGAATCACCAAAAGATATTGTTCATCATGTTTTGAATTATTCAAATGATCATTCTACTTGGATGAATCGTTCGACTGAACAATGTTCATCAAATGCTGCCGCTACGGCAGCAGCGGCCGCCGTTGTTGTTGCCGCAGCAGCCGCCGCGTCTGTTCGATCTCGACCACCTAGTCTAAGTACTATTTCAGAAGAACCTTCTCATTCCAGCTCAACTGTAAGTTTAAACCATACTACTCCACCAAATAGTGGAAATGGTTCTGGATGTAGTAGTACTGGTAGTAGTAGTAGTAATAATAATAATAGTGGTTATTTGCCAAATTTCGAAAATGAAGATATTTCATTGAATCCTACTGCATCTTTTAATTCTGTTGGTTCGATAAAAAACTACTTTACATCACAAAATCTGCCACTCAGTCTTGTCACCTCAGTTGATCTTATCAGGATGAGCAGACTTTTAAATCCAAATATTTCTGCTAATGAGATATGCGAAAGTTTATGTAGCTCAATTACATCTCCTGCTTCTTCCAATATTCATACGTCTGTTAAAGTCATCGAACTAGTAAGAACAAAGAATTGGTCTTAGATCCAAATGTAGCATGTACATTATTGGCAGCTGTAACGGCGACTAGTTATCAAACTGCAAACAAACCAGTCATAGAGGTAACACCTGTTGGACAAAATGAAAATATCCCACCACCTTCATATTCAAGTGTAGTTAACCAATCTCACTCTATCGGGCGTGATAGATCCTCTCAACGCATATCAGTTTCGTCTCATCAACAAAAAGCTTATAGAGGTCATGATATTTCTACCCGTGTATCAGATAACGAGACATCTGTTAAGTCATTTGCAGATAATTATGAGATCTCTGATCCTACTACACAATTGGCTGCCAATAATATTTTTCAGCCTAATTCTCACACTACCTCATCATCATCCTCATCAAAAACTTTTAAGACTAATTATCACCATTTAAGAAAGAAAAATGTATCATTAGTATTTTCATCTCCTAATCATTTACATCAAACTACACCAGTAAATACAAGCTCAAACTGTAAAATCTCACAATTACCTAATACCGGTTCAAATTCTTCAAGTACACATTTGAATGTAAATATTTCACATTCATGTCATAATCATAAACACTGTTGTTCTAATTGTATAATTACTCATTGTAATTCAAGGTCAATAAATGATGATTACAATAGTGGCAGCAACCACAATGCTAATGCCAATATTCATCATCAAGGTACTAGTCACATTGTTTTATCGGATTCTAATTCAGATAGTCAAATTAAAAAATCTCACAATACTTAACATAACTATATGCAAGTTATATCCAATTGTAAATTGTATAGTTATATGTACGCTTTCAACATATCTGTATTCCTAACTCTAAAACACTTTCTACAATTTATTTGTCTTTTAAAATTCTATACTTATGATGTATTTCTTTAAGTTATATATGCATTTTGTACAGGTTTGTATGTTTCATAAAAAACGTTTAAAAATCCTAATAGTTATGTTTACCTTTTTCTTTGTAATAGTTTACCACTGGTCTTTATTTTCACGTAGAATGTTTATTTCGATTAACATTGTTTCTAGCTACTCCCCCCACCTACACGTTTTTGTTGCCTAAAATGTACAGTTAAATTTGCTTACTCCAACTTGTATGCTTCTCTTCTATCTCTTACAATTTATTTAGGAACTAACTTATTCAGTGTACATAAGTGACAGTACTTTTGGTTAAGCACAATTATCGTTTCTCCAAAGTCTTTTCTAGATAATCTTTTATCAGTTTCCGTTGTATGTCTTAAGTTTTTTTTCTTTATTGAATTGGTCGTTTTATTTTCTCGGGATTATTCAGTTGAATTATCTTCTAAATGAAATTAGTGTATTTATAAGTTTATTTTTGATTGATATAGGTATATACTTGATTTCACTGTAATTGTTGGTATTCAACACGGTCTGCTTTTGAATTATTGAATCCACTATATATATATATATACCAAGGCCATGTATAAAGTCAATTTTTATACGTTTTATTTATGTAATTTTGGTTATTTCATTCAATTTGGTTTTCCTTAAAACAAAACTGGTTACTCGTGAAGTGATCAAAAATTCTTTTACTGTCTTAGTAGCTTATGTTATACTGTTATTAAGGAATAGCGTTTTTTTCTTGTGTCTTTTCCATAGCCAATTATTTATAGTCATATTCTCTTTATTCTTTTCGTGTTTTTTTCTATGTTCTTCAACTTCATCCTTTTCCTTTTATCTCTTCTTCTCTGTGTTGATTCCATAATTTTGACTAATTATTGTTGCATTTCTTCTAGATTTCCTTCTATTCAACATTTATATATCTATAACATACTATTGTTGTATCTTATTCATGTGTTCCTTTGTATCTTATTTATTTATTTTTTAAAAAAATCTTATTCCCTGTAAACAGTTAAATGTATTTCTCTGTGTACATACTCACGTATACATAAGTAACTAGTGTTTATATTTTCGTTTGACTAGGCATTTTATTTTATTGTTTTATTATTCTGTTTTCTTATTCCTTCTTGTTTTTTTTTCTCTCATAATTTAAACAAATATACACATAAATAAATATTCAATTGTGTTATTTTTGCTGAAGTAATTTATTTTCTTGCCTTTTATTCTTTTCTTTTTTTTTTTTAGAAATATTTTTTCACGTTTAATTTTAGCCGAATAGTTAAATAATAAATTGGTATATTTATTGTTTATAGAGTAGTTCAACTTGTATATTATAGAGAAAATAACAACGAATTGTTCGGTTGTATTGGTTTGTAAACTAAACCTACATTATTGATGATACCATGTTGATTAACTAACGGAAAAAAGAATTCAGATATACACTTCTATATATAGAAAAAGGGAAAACATTTTTAACATTTGATCTCCATCTGTTACAATCGACATAGAGATATAATATGATTACTTATTTTAGTATTCTAGTCAATAGTAAGAAAGTATTGTGTAAAATTGGTTATCTGACATTAAATCGTTGTAGTTCTTTTGTTTAATATTGAAATATTCTAGGATTATTTCTTTTTAAAAAAATTACATATGAATTAAAGGGATTATTGGAATTTTATGATTAATATATAATTTATTAATTAAACGGGTGATATTTTCTGGTTCAAGTGTAATCCGAAAGAAACGTAAGGGCGAGTAAACCAAAACATGACATTAATCTAAGAAGTCACTGACAAGTAGACTTAGCTATGTTGATAGTCATAGATTTTCTGTTTGGGATCTGCGTGATTATCGTAACCAATGATTAGAATCTTTGAATGATATGGCTCAAAATCGTTTGCAATGGAGCAGGTGCATTCATTCTTTGTCTCTTCACAAATTTTGAGATTCTTAATTCCTCATAACTTGTTGTTCCTATTACACTAATTTATATTTTCTTTTCGGGCCATATCTTCAATCCCTTTTCTTTCCATATTGCCACTGATGCAGTTACATTCTTGACTACGAATGTATCGGCTATTTTGTAAATGTGATCTGAATTCGAGGGAGTGAATTATTACATAGCCTTTGACTTTGAGTTTCACCTTACAAGTCTTAATAATTAAACCTGAACCGGTGACCAATAAAGGTAAGAGCACATTATGTGACGTAAGCTGTTAAGTGTCAAGAGAAGTCAGTTGTAGTCAATGTAGATCCTGGAATAAGTATCTGTCCGAATTGCAACATTTCACAACAATACAAGGTACAAAAATTTAGAATTAAATAAGCATAAAATAACGCAGTAATAACATTCAATGTTTTCGAGATTAAAATATCACAAGTATGACTTGAATAGAATGGATGAAATATTTTTGGATGACAGTAATCTCAACACTAGAAAAGGTTTACGAAAAAGTGCAATTGCTTCTTTTCAACCGTGTCACCTTGGATCTATATTTATAAAATTCTTTACTGCACTCATCTTCGTTAGGAATCGTACACTCTATATGGCTCGAAGCAGCAGTTTATTAATTCATAAAGTTTAAAGCAATTAGTCCTTTTGATAAATTTCGATAATGTAATAAGAAAACGAATGTTGTTAGAACTGTGTGATATATTAGCGCAATATATTTCGAAAAATCTGATCACACACATACTTGTTAAGAGCATTTATATATAAAAATAAAAGGTCAACTAGACAGGAAACGGGGTAAGAGGAGATAAGGATAATGATAAGAGTAATAATAATAATAATGTGAACACAATTTGAAACCTAATCACTCTGGATAATAAGTCAATATTACCAGGGTAGGTTTAAGGTAAGAACAAACTGTTTTTGAACACGCAGACGGGGTTTGAATTTTCGTATGGCTAAGGCTTCGATAAACCTTAGTATGCGCCTTTATAAGCAAAGATGGATAGTGGCTAACAGTGGAATCCAGGACGCGCGTTTCTTCCTATTTGGGACTCGGCAGCTGGATGTACCTGCATCTCAGAGTTGATGTTCACTCTGAGACTCGAACCCCAGTCCCAAATAGGACGAAACGCGCGTCCTGGATTCCATCGCTAGCCACCATCCATCTTCGCTTATAAAAGCTTGTGAATTAAGGCAATATCGAGGCATACACACAGTATGCACATATGTCAATAACAGACTGATCAATTGCAGTCTTAAACCTCAATGGGAAGATACAAGCAAAACAATACCAAGTGAACTTAGTATACGCCCTTTTACACTCTTATACAACACACAAAGTCGAGTTTAGATTAATCTTATGGCCTGTTTCAATTATATGTTTAGCAATAGAAGATGACGGATGTTTATCCTCTGCTCTTATTAGGTCACTTAATTGTATTTTTTTCTGCAGCCATTTTGGTACATGTTCACACACCCTAATATTGAGATCACGATTGCTCCTCCCCATGTATGTGTGACCATACACACATTTAAATTGGTAAACACAGTGGGATGTGACACAACCGTTTTCATGTCTTATAGGTTTTGGATGAAGCATGCACCTTGTTCTTTCTTTGATAATGACCTTTGCTGCACAATACGTTTTATTGATGACTGATTCAATTATTTGTTTCAATAAAAGGATACTTGAATCACCTCTGAATGGTAAGGTGATGTAGACAGGGTTTTTTTCCACGAAGGCTACAGTAGGTCTCATTGTACCATGGACTTTCCATCTATTTATGAATTTCAGAGGATAGCCATTTTCTATTAATGTTTTATTAAGCAACGTAACATCATCAATGGCGTCATTTGTACAAATACGATCAAGCTTGTTGAAAAGGCACCTTATAAAACAACGTTCATAATGTGATTCATGTATTGATTTCATCACTTATGGCTTTCTAGCATAGTATATTGAATCAAAGTGTGACCTAATATTTGTAGCACATATCTTCACAACCCTGGTTGTTGAAGGTGTATACACTCCAGTCTTTCATTTTCAACTAGTACTGTGAGCCTAACTTTGTTGCTTTGTTGTGGTTCACGAGTAAAGTTTTATAATGGTCGAATGCTAACGATCACCACACGTTTCATACTTCTATAAGATCTTTCAATGTTGTGAAGTAATGCATAACAAAAAATATGCAGTATATACACTTTTTAATAAGCAGACTGACATCATCTCTGAGTGACAGGTAATGTCATATAGCTATTACCAAAGAGGAATTTAATATCTGAGATCTCACCAACACACCTGAATTGATGAGAATTACAAATAAAGTCGTCAACACACTGGGAAGGTGCGTATCCCAAAAATTTTCACATCTTCACTCAAGGCGTTCAGCGTTTTCAAATAGAAATATATTATTTCCGTACTATTAATGGTATAGTCTTGGGATGTGTTATATCTAGACGTATCTCTGCAGTTTATGTATAATGTATGTTATGAACATAAATGACCGTAGAAGTAAATTTGGTGAGAAAACTTTTGAAAATGAAGTAAACAGTTAATCACTCAATAAAACATTCTTCCATCTATATTTTGAATGCCAACACATTAAATGGACATTGTACTAAAATTCATTTGAATATCGTATGCTTTTGTTGGACTTATTTTTACTGCAATCACATCTTATAATAACAAAAGTAGATATTATTATTAATTGCTAGTTTCTAATCGTAACATCGGAATAAATAACTGTTTAGAGAGTCCATTTCAATAAAGCTAATCAAAACAGTCTATAATTACAATCCAGATAGGTTTAACTACCCAATATCTTAACTACAGAATAATTTTTATCCACAAGCCTCCAAATTCCCTGGTACAGCCGAGAGTGGGGACAGTCAGATCTCCCTGTCGAAATGTTTTCACATGGCC